GAATATGGGAGGGAATAAAATAGAAGAGGAGAGAAGAAGAGAAAGAATAGAACAGAACAGAACAGAACAGAAATAGGAATAGAATAGAATAGAATAGAATAGAATAGAATAGAATAGAATAGAATTACAATTAGAACAGAACAGAATTGTTTATTGGCCAAGTGTGATTGGACACACAAGGAATTTTTCTTGGTGCAAATGCTCTCAGTGTACATAAAAGAAAAGATACCTACGTCAAGAGTCAAGAATCATCAGGTACAACACTTAATGATAGTCATAGGGTACAATAAGCAATCAAACCATACTAGGAAACAGTCCATATAAATCGTAAGGATACAAGCGACAAAGTTACGGTCATACAGTCACAAGTGGGAGGGGATGGGAGATAAGGAGTGATGAGAAGATTAACGGTAGCAGTAGTGCAGACTTTGTAAATAGTTGGAGAAAGCAGACGCTAAATTGAGTTTTTTCCTTCTGTCATCAGGGGATCTGCTCACAAAAGCTTTAGACATTTAGAGATTACCTCAGCCCGGGAGTGGTGTGTCGCAAGAGGAAAAGGCATGAAGGGGGGGAAAAAACATCCCCAAAACAAAACAAAAAACTTTGAAGAGCGGTTTCTGCTCTTTTTCCCAGGCCGACTCCGTCTTTTGCAAGATCTAATTTTGTGCTGTTGTTTATCCTAGCTCTGCCCTGGGTCCGCTGGGTGCTGCTCCTTTCTCCTGAGATCTTCTGGATTAATGTTGACACAAGTCTTGTCTCTCTTTTTTGTTTGGTTTGGTTTGGTTTTCTCCAACCGCAGGTTGACAAGCGGCAATTTTCAACCCCGGAGCCACAAAAGGCCAGTGGAGACAGAGAGAGAGGGGGGATCTGGGAGGGAGAAAGACAAACAGCTGTGTTGGGACAGACAGCGACCGACCGAATCCCACCCGAATCCCAGGGCTGATGGACAAGACTCTGGGGACAGGAGGAGGCTTGGAGGGCAAGCTGATCTGGGAAAAAAACAGAGAATTGTTTTTTTTTCCCCTCTTTCAGCTCTGGAGGAATCCCCAGATTTTCCCAGGAGAAAAAGAAAATAGAAGAAAAAGATCTAGTGGCAGATTTCCTCAGTCTCTGTCTTTCCAACCTCTGTCTCAAAAGTTTTTTTTTTTCCCCACCGTCTGAAAAAAAAATCAAACGGAGTTCAGATGAGAATTAAAAGTTGAGTCACAACTCCGAACGCATTTGGGGTGTGTGTGTGTGTCCCCAGAGCAGAGAAATCAACACACAACTTTTTGTTCTTCGTTTTCGGAGCTGATTCTGGTCACAGAAGACACACAGGGGCCATTTTCCACTGGTTGTAATGTGTGCGTTGTTGTTTTTTTGCAACGCAACAGGCTTCTTGCAAGGGTAAAAAAACCATGCATGTTACATACATGTAACGGTGGTGTGGGGATGACCTCATCCCCACCAAGGGCAACGGGTGCCTCAGTTTCTCTGGGGGAAAACTTATGCAACATGCAATTCCTGGGCATCTATTTCCAGCTTCTAGGTGACCCAACACCTATTTATGGAAGTTTATTTTCTCTTGGGAAATTGGCCTTCCCTGCCACAGTTACGGAGGAGAAAGAAACAGAAATTTATTCCTACTAAACCTGACTATTTTTGGTGCCTGTGTGCCTGTGTGTGGATCCCTTAGCCATTGTCCCTTGCTACTCCAACCATTACAACCAGTTAGGATATTTTGGGCATTCTGAACGCAGAACAGTGTTTGTTGGAGAAAGACACCCAAAAGGGTTGTGTGTGTGTGTGTGTGTGTTTTTTAATGTTGAAACAACTTCTGCAGCATTATCACACCGGCTTGTTGAGAGGTTCAAAGTAACGCTCTTGAGAAAAACCTACAGAAGAGTTTTCTGGCCATTTGGCAGGGCAAAAACAAAAAAAAAACCAACAACACAATTTGTTTTTGTTCTCCTTTCTGAGGCCATCGGGGCTTTGCCACCTGTGCTCAAGTGCGAAATGTTTGTACTCCCCTCGCTCTCCACTTAGGCCCCGCTCAAGATGCATCAGCCCGGCTGGGGCCAAGCAAAGGCCGTCTCCAATCCGCCCCCCTCCCCTTCGCCCCTTTCCTCAAAATTATGCAGAGCAGAGGAAAATCAGCGTGCGAACAGGGACCCAGTGGAAAATTTCCAAAGGTGGGAGAACAGGGCAACCAAATTAGAATAACCTCCCCAGATAAAATCTGATGTCCAGAATGCAAAGAGAATTTTCTCACCAACCCTCCCGTTCAGGTTTCCAAAACGGTATATTTCTCCAAGCGTGGCTGCATTCAATCACACGCACACTCACACACCCATGTTATCAACTCTCTTGGTTTAAAGTGTGGCTTGCACCACTAATATGTGGCTTAAGCAACTTTACAAAACCAGAAATTCTCCACGGACGTTTAACGCGGCCCATGAGGTTTAATCCTGCTACAAACAACTGCAGAAGAATTTTTCCAAACACTAAAAAAAACCAACAACACTTGATTTACTAACAAACGTAGAATGATCAACGCCATTAGGGACTGGAGAACAGTTAACTTTGCTGGATAGCTTTCTGGTAAACAAACATCCTTATTTTTCCTTCTTTTTCCCACATAAACAGAGAGCTCTCAAGTGTATCTTTCTTCCAGAAAGTGACTCATTTTTTTTCGGTCTCTCCAGGGACAGACCAACCAATCTACCGTCGGAGTTGCTTTGGGTGGTCTCTGGCGGCTTACTCCAATCCTCTTCGTGGTCTTGGAGACAGGCTTGTTGGGCATAGCGAGCGGATCTTCTGGAGGAGCAAACGTCTTGAGAAGTTCCGAGGACCAATTCTTTCCGCTGTACCCATAACGTTTCGAGGGTGAACTGTAGGATGTCTTTATCAGGGTAATAATGAAACCGATCCGAATGAAGGTAGAGTTTTTCTCCCGTTAGACCTTCTTCCTTGCACGACCTCAAGGTCTTGAAGTCCTCGTGGACTTCCTTTATGGCCTCCTCCAACTTCAGGAGGTCGTGGTGGCCTTTTTGGTCTTGAACGCTTGCCCAAATCACCATGGCCTCAATTCTCTTCTTCCTTGACCAGCTCTCGGTGAGGTCTGTAAGCTGCAAACGTCCGTTTCTGCTCAACCATCTTCCACACACTTCCATTTTCCCAGCTCCTCCAGGCTTTGCTTCAAAATTTTCAAGGGATGGGTGGAAATTAGCCATCCTGGCTGCGCCTGGTGGAAGGAGAAACGGGGTGGTTGGAATGAGGGGGCTGATTCTGCACCCACAAGGCAAGGGCAAGGCAAGGGCATCCCCAATAATTCTATTTATTCACTTCATCAGAGTTTAAAACGATTGGTCCCTTTTAATAATTGAAACAATACTGCCAAAAGATAAACAGAGGTCGATGCAAGCATTTCATATTGGCTCATCAGTACCTACATTGCAATAACATGGCTAAAATAAGCCCTTTTTAACCCTGTTATTGTAATGTAGGTATTGCTGAGTCAATTTGAAATGCTTGCATCGACCTCTGTTCCGTTTTCTGGCTCTATTGTTTGATGGCAGTTGTAAGGGCTGCTCACTTCGAGAGAACCTGGGGTGTATGTGGAACTTTCTGTCAAAGCAACTCATTTTAAAAAAGCACCTAAGGGTAAACCAGGATAAAAATGACTGGGCAAAAGCCTAACCAGCTTTCCAAAGTTTGCATAGTACGTTATTCACTGTTAACTAATCAAATCATGCTTGCACAACCCGGCAGTGGAAATCAAGGTTTGCATTAGCCGGGTTTTGCACTATGCATGCTAAATTCGGGATATAAGCTGGTTAAGGGCGTTGTCTCAACAGCACCGAAGTGCAGGAACGGCTGCAAATTCCCACGGAAGAGGATTTGCAAAGCGCTTTTAGCAGCAAACAGGCGACTGAAAGACGTGCCGTGACCGCCCTCTAGTGGCGGCCGGGAGCTTCGCAGAGCCCAGAAAGAGAAAATTTCATGCCCATGACTGCTAACCAGCATGAAACCGTGATTAAAGGTAACGAAGGGGAGAGAAATCAAGCGTGGGAAAGCAGACTTGTACCAAGAAGAGGAGCCTAACAAAAAAAAAAAAAAGAAAATTAAAACATCTGCAGGGAAGAGAGAGCTGGAAGGAGGGTTTGCAAGCACATTGTTGTGTTTCTCAACCCAAATCTGGATTTTTTCCACCCGATTGTGTTTCTAGGGCTTTCCCCCCAGTTAAAACCTAATTTCTTTCATGCATTGCGTTCAATAGGTAAATATAATTTGTTTATCTATGGCTTCCCTAAAAAACATGGAGGCTTTGAAGAAGGGACTGGACAGTCATTTGTCTGGAATAGTATAAGGTTCTCCTGCTTGAGCAGAGGGTTGGACTAGATGACCCACAAGGTCCCTTCCCACTCTTATCTGTTAATCTCCTAATCATGGTTTAGGATGCTTTTGTTATTTGGGGGGTGGGGGTGCATTCTGGGTTTGTTTGCGCGCAACGCCTTGGTTTCTTAGGATACCCCGTGGCCCACCTTGCTCTCTTCGCCCTGCAGTGGGCGGATTTGGACAAACCACGGCTTTGCCAAACGAATCCTGGTTTGCAGCAGCCCTTAAAACTGGTCTCAGGTCCGTAGCTGGGTTCTGCAGCGAGCCGCCGCGCCGCCAGAGGGCGCTGCTGGGCTTCGCGCTCGCCGCGCTCGGGGATGACGCCTTCGGGACGGCGCCTCCGCGCGGGGCCCAGCCCGTTGCCACGGCAACCGCCGCCGGGCTGCCTGCGGAGAGCGGCGCGGTGGGCCCGACGGGGGCCCCGTTTGGCTCCCCGGGATGTTCGGGGACGCGTCGACCGGCGTCCTGGACGTGGAGTCGGTGTGGAGGAGGGACCAGGGGACCCGATGCGAGGAGGTGCGGGGGGCCGCTCTGCCCTGCGGCGGGGTGGGACTACAGGACCCATCTTCCCCAGCCGCAGCCCCGTTGGCCTTTGTGGGCGCTGCTCCCACCTTTCCCCGGCTGGGACCC